TAGACAACATAATGGGTTCTATTCTACACCGGACGCGAGCGGCGCAACAAAATACAATAGAATTCTATTGTATTTTGTCACGCCGCGTGATGTGATGTGACCAATGTGATAAGCATGAGTTCTGGGCCACGGTGCGGCCGGTAAACACCAGCACTGAGTGGCCGCGATCAGCTCCGGTGGCCGTAACACAGGCTTTAATGCGCCGCAGACGCGTGCCGTGAAGCGCAGATCAGCTCTAGTCTAACGTCACTGAATCTGCTGTTAAAATGAGCCATCCATTCTTCATATCATCATGCATAACAAAGAATTAGAATCATTGTAACGCGACGATCAGGCAGGTTTATGCAGGAAGCACAGCTTTTCCAAATGTAAACATCTAAAATGAATAAATAATAATAATTAATAATAATTTTTTTCACAAACTCTGTGTTGTGTATTTTCTGGTAATGAACATGCAGAACATTCATATTTAAATAAGTCTTTTTGCAGTTTAATATTCACAGACAGTCTATATATATATATATATATATATATATATATATGTACTGACCTGTTTTTTATTTATTCACCAAAAATAAGACAAATTCCATTAAATTCCGTGTTATACAGTAAATTCCGTTTTTATGACTTCCGTTCATGTTTTCTGCATCGCGGAAATCATAGGGTCCTACTAATGGTTCAATTGCATGCACAAATACGGCGGAGCACGCTGTAGCCTGTACCATTTCATATTAAAGCGCAAATGAAACTACGTATGCATGTCAGATCCACATCACGTTCAGCAGAGGCAGCTCTTGAAGTAATAGCAGCCAAAAAACCTAATAACTAGCTTCTGTGATGTCTGTCAAAGAACAACAAAAAAAGCACTGACTGCCACGATCAGCTCCGGTGCACCACAGACGCGTGCAGTGATGCGCAGATCAGCTCTAAGGTCTGCTGTTAAAAATTAACCATCCATTCATCATATCATCATGCAAAACTAAGAATTAGAATCATTGTAATGTGACGATCAAATATAGGTGCGGGTGGGTGGCGGGCAGATAATTTGAAGCAGCAGACTCGGGTGAAGTTTGAGCTCACCCGCTCATCTCTACACTACACTGACCTGGGTCCAATAGCAAACAATTGTCGCGCTGTGCTGGACAAACGAAGTAATTACACCATTCAGAAGCATTTAATCTGCATTATATGTTCTGTAAAAAAAAAAGAAAAGAATCACATCGGCGGCATATTCGCCGATACTGATATATTGGCGACAGGCTCATATCGGCCGATAATATCGGCTAAACGATATATCGGTCGGGCTCTAGTTTTTACTCCCTAGTATCGGTATCGGCCCCCAAAAACCCATATCGATCGGGCTCTAGTATTAATTACAAGGAAGTATTTCAGAAAGGCTCCGTCACCTACAGCATCAGTCTGACACAATCACCAGTCATAAATAAAGCTCTGCACAGACCCTGTTCCTGACATCTTCTTCTGTGGATTAACGTGTCTCATGCAGATTTGCTGCGGCAGTGAACGCACCTCCAGGTCCAGCAGGCAGATGGATTCCGGCGCGTTGGTGTCCAGTTTGGAGGTCTCGAGCGTGAGGCGAGGGAAGAGCTGCTTGAGCCAGTCCTGCAGACTCACGCTTTGACCCATGAGCGCCCACTGCAGACCGAGCCACGCCAGCTGCTGCAGTGACCCGCCTGACTCTGACGATCACAGGCCAGCAACTCTAGAGGCTCATGGGACGCCTGCTCACTCTTGAAGCTCCTGGCTTTGGGTCTCGGAGCCTGCGGGAGCATGAGATGCTGTAAGGTGGAGGATCAGACGTCACGAGTGCGTGAGGAAGAGGAAGCGGTGTACCTGATAGGATACGAGATAACAGAGAGCGGCCAGATCCAGCACAGCCCTCCACTGCTGCGCCCTGTCCTGTGCCCTCTTCAGCAGCAGCGTCCCGGAGTACAGGTACAGGTTCGCCCTCATCTCCGAGAACACCTCCGCCAGCTCGTCCGCCATGTTTGTGGCCGTGTTCTTCAGAGCCTGCATCGCACAGTCAAAACTGCACCGCAACAAAGACAGCAACGACTGTGAGCGACGCCAGCATTAACATGACATCCAATCAGTGCGGGACATTAAGGGATTGAATTTCATGATAGAAATGTCTAATGTGTGTTCAAATTCATATCAGAGTTTCAGTCAATGACTTCAGTCCTCCTGAACTACTCTGTCCGAAACACATTCAGTAGCTGAAGTTTCAGTGTGATTCATTTCCACGTAGAGTGACTGTAATTGTGGCGTGCTAACGGTGCAAACGGAGTTTGTGAGTGTGTGTGTGTTTGTGAGAGTGTGTGTGTGTGAGTGAGTGAGTGTGTGTGTGTGTGAGAGAGTGAGTGTGAGTGAGTGAGTGAGTGTGTGTGAGTGAGAGTGAGTACCTCCAGAGTGCAGCGGTGCTCTCCTCACAGTCCTTCAGTGTCAGCGTCAGTCTCACACAGCTACACCGCGCCAGCAGCAGCTCTTTCTGAAACTTGCGTGACGCTTGTTCGTTCGACGACACGCTCGGCTGGCAGATGTACTCCTGAAATACAGCAGAGGGAAGTGCCACAAGCACACAGATCATCAGGATCATCACTTCCCATGATCCTCTGAAACCTTTCATGACAACACGAAAACAGAGAATGAACACGTTTCAGCTTTACCATACTTGAGCTCGATGCATGCATGTTGATCAGTGTTTATTATTGAATTCATTCCGTTGATCGTATCACGCGATCGGATTAAACCACTGCATTCACATGGTTTACCGCTAAAGACGCCTTTATGAACTTTTCGAAGCATCTAAGTTATGCTTACGTGGACTTTGAATGGAGGGACAGAAATCTCTTAGGTTTAATTTAAACACATCATGTGTTCTGAAGATGAATAAAAGTCTTACGTGTTGTCAGTGAACTATGCCTTTAAAGGTGAATCAGCTAAAAATAACCAGTGTGAGAGACAAGTGAAAAGCTGTGACCTGCATTAAGAGCAGACTGTACCTGCAGGGTGCTGACTAACAGCTGGTACCACTGCAGACAGTGTCTCAGGACACCGGCTCTCTCCACGGCGAGGCAGTGTTTGACGGCGTCCTGGAGCCGGCCCTCGGCGCTGTAGAGCTGCACCAGCTTCTGGTTGATGTAGGTGTCTGCGGGCCGCAGCTTGAGCTCCGCCTGCAGCAGCTCGTACAGCTGGTTGGAGCCGCTCTGAGCGCTCAGAAGCTTCTCCTGCGGCAGAGAGGACACGTGAGACGCAGCGCAGCGGATAACTCTTCAGCTCATGTGATGCACACACACTCACCCTCAGACTGAAGACGCCTGGGTGTCCCGGCAGAAGCCTGGCAGCTTTCTCCACCCAGAACTCAGCTCGGCTGTCATGCTCGGGTTTACTGCACAGCAGCTCGGCCACTTTCAGGACCAGATCGTGCTGAGCCGGATTCAGATCCACCGAGCGCTAGGAGTCCAACATACACCGTCATTACATCACACACACTGCGCACAACACACACGTCTTACTGCGCCCTGATGAAGTGTCTAACAGTCTGAGGCAGGCCTCTCACTGCTCGCTCTGCTGAGACTAACTCACACGAGCACATGATTTGGTTGCACTTTTTTTTTAACACGGGATTAATCAATGCATGCTGATGAACAGCTTTTCTTTTATCATAGTTTATAGTTATATGGTATGGCAACAGAAGTGGTTAACATTCAACCCGTTCTTTTTTCAGTGACGAGCCGGGCTTCGGACGCTTTCACTTTCACTGTTGCGATCTTGGTGTCACGTTTTACAAGAAGAGATAATTGTCTGTTGTGCTTACATCTATACACCTTTCACTTTATAAGACTAAACAAATGTTTGATAGATGGATTCATTGTTATTCTTAATCGAAAAGCACAACAATACAACAGTAGGCTACCATGACAAACTAGCTTTAACTAGCTTTTAAAAAAATGAAAAGAGAGCCTCCATTAGTGTAGCGTGAGCTAAACAGCAAAGATAACAGCCTGTTACCACTGCATCCGGACTGCACACAAACCACTTCAAAGATGTCATTATCAAAATATCATATGCATTGCACAACAGATTTGATAACACTATAATATGGATATTTATTCTCTGTCCGATGATTTATGCATGATCACATTAAACTCGAGCTCGAGAGTGTGTTTAAGAGCATGCATTAGGAGAACATTTGAGAGCAAACGAGGAGAGTCCAAACCTTGTAACATCCCACAGCTTTGTCTGTTTCGCCGTCACGCTCAAACAGCTGCCCGAGGAACTTGTGCGCTTTAGGGTCCTTCTGCTGGACGGTCAGATACTCCGAAACATGTCTGCCATTGAAGTGTGTGAGAGAGAGAACATCAGCTCATCCGAGAGGAAGCAGACATCAAACAAAGCAGCAGGAGCACAGAGACCAGCCTACCTTTTAGCCAGCTCATACTCCTTAGCCTCAAAGTAGAGTTTAGCAAAGAGAAATCCTTTGACGGGCTTCTGCAGAAACAACACAGCGCAGGGTCATGACACAACACCCCTGCAAACCCTAATGATCACAGTAACCCCGCACAGAGAACTACATAATCTATTAGATGAACAAGAACATTCTAGCCGAACGCACACACATCTGTGCTAACTGTTATCTTTGGTATCTGAGAACAGATTTATTATCAAATGTTCTTAATATAATTTCTAAATTCTCCATTGAATTATGTGATCTGAAGTGTCCGTTTTCTTCCATGTGCGCAAGTGTTATGAGTCAGAGCGCGTTAACTCTCTAGATCTTACGTGTTTAAAAAAACGAGTGAAACATTTTTCTACACATGAAATATGAAAGCAAATAGATATATAATTATGTCGGCGATTCGCCTTACTTTTTCGCATCGCGCTCAGTGTGAAACGGCCTTAACACTCACACACACACACACACTATAACACACTCACACTATAACACACACACTCACTATAACACTCACACACACTATAACACTCACTCACACACACACTATAACACTCACTCACACACACTATAACACACACTCACTATAACACTCACACACACACACACACACACACTATAACACTCACACACTATAACAAACTCACACTATAACACTCACTCACACTATAACACTCACACTCACTCACTCTATAACACTCACTCACTCACTCACACTCACACTATAACTCACTCTCACACTCACTCTCACTCTCACTCTCACACTATAACACTCACTCACTCTATAACACTCACTCACACACACACACACTATAACGCTCACTCACACTATAACACTCACACTCACTATAACACTCACACTCACTATAACACTCACTCTATAACACTCACTCACACACACACACACTATAACGCTCACACACACTATAACGCTCACACTCACTATAACACTCACACTCACAATAACACTCACACTCACTAACTCACTCACACACACACACACTATAACGCTCACACACACTATAACGCTCACACTCACTATAACACTCACACTCACAATAACACTCACACTCACTATAACACTCAGTCACACTATAACACTCTCTCACACTATAACACTCACTCACACTCACACACACTATAACACTCTCACACTATAACACTCACTCACACTCACTCACACTATAACACTCACTCAAACTATAACACTCACTCACACTCACACACACTATAACACTCACACTATAACACTCACACTCATTATAAACACACACACTATAACACACACTCACTATAACACTCACTCACACACACTATAACACTCACTCACACTATAACACTCACACACTATAACACTCACTCATACTATAACACTCACACTCACTATAACACACACACACTATAACACTCACACTCACTATAACACTCACTCACACTATAACACACACACACTATAACACTCACTCACACTATAACACTCACTCACACTATAACACTCACTCACACTATAACACTCACTCACACTATAACACTCACTCACACTATAACACTCACTCACACTATAACACTCACTCACACTATAACACTCACTCACACTATAACACTCACTCACACTATAACACTCACTCACACTATAACACTCACTCACACTATAACACTCACTCACACTATAACACTCACTCACACTATAACACTCACTCACACTATAACACTCACTCACACTATAACACTCACTCACACTATAACACTCACTCACACTATAACACTCACTCACACTATAACACTCACTCACACTATAACACTCACTCACACTATAACACTCACTCACACTATAACACTCACTCACACTATAACACTCACTCACACTATAACACTCACTCACACTATAACACTCACTCACACTATAACACTCACTCACACTATAACACTCACTCACACTATAACACTCACTCACACTATAACACTCACTCACACTATAACACTCACTCACACTATAACACTCACTCACACTATAACACTCACTCACACTATAACACTCACTCACACTATAACACTCACTCACACTATAACACTCACTCACACTATAACACTCACTCACACTATAACACTCACTCACACTATAACACTCACTCACACTATAACACTCACTCACACTATAACACTCACTCACACTATAACACTCACTCACACTATAACACTCACTCACACTATAACACTCACTCACACTATAACACTCACTCACACTATAACACTCACTCACACTATAACACTCACTCACACTATAACACTCACTCACACTATAACACTCACTCACACTATAACACTCACTCACACTATAACACTCACTCACACTATAACACTCACTCACACTATAACACTCACTCACACTATAACACTCACTCACACTATAACACTCACTCACACTATAACACTCACTCACACTATAACACTCACTCACACTATAACACTCACTCACACTATAACACTCACTCACACTATAACACTCACTCACACTATAACACTCACTCACACTATAACACTCACTCACACTATAACACTCACTCACACTATAACACTCACTCACACTATAACACTCACTCACACTATAACACTCACTCACACTATAACACTCACTCACACTATAACACTCACTCACACTATAACACTCACTCACACTATAACACTCACTCACACTATAACACTCACTCACACTATAACACTCACTCACACTATAACACTCACTCACACTATAACACTCACTCACACTATAACACTCACTCACACTATAACACTCACTCACACTATAACACTCACTCACACTATAACACTCACTCACACTATAACACTCACTCACACTATAACACTCACTCACACTATAACACTCACTCACACTATAACACTCACTCACACTATAACACTCACTCACACTATAACACTCACTCACACTATAACACTCACTCACACTATAACACTCACTCACACTATAACACTCACTCACACTATAACACTCACTCACACTATAACACTCACTCACACTATAACACTCACTCACACTATAACACTCACTCACACTATAACACTCACTCACACTATAACACTCACTCACACTATAACACTCACTCACACTATAACACTCACTCACACTATAACACTCACTCACACTATAACACTCACTCACACTATAACACTCACTCACACTATAACACTCACTCACACTATAACACTCACTCACACTATAACACTCACTCACACTATAACACTCACTCACACTATAACACTCACTCACACTATAACACTCACTCACACTATAACACTCACTCACACTATAACACTCACTCACACTATAACACTCACTCACACTATAACACTCACTCACACTATAACACTCACTCACACTATAACACTCACTCACACTATAACACTCACTCACACTATAACACTCACTCACACTATAACACTCACTCACACTATAACACTCACTCACACTATAACACTCACTCACACTATAACACTCACTCACACTATAACACTCACTCACACTATAACACTCACTCACACTATAACACTCACTCACACTATAACACTCACTCACACTATAACACTCACTCACACTATAACACTCACTCACACTATAACACTCACTCACACTATAACACTCACTCACACTATAACACTCACTCACACTATAACACTCACTCACACTATAACACTCACTCACACTATAACACTCACTCACACTATAACACTCACTCACACTATAACACTCACTCACACTATAACACTCACTCACACTATAACACTCACTCACACTATAACACTCACTCACACTATAACACTCACTCACACTATAACACTCACTCACACTATAACACTCACTCACACTATAACACTCACTCACACTATAACACTCACTCACACTATAACACTCACTCACACTATAACACTCACTCACACTATAACACTCACTCACACTATAACACTCACTCACACTATAACACTCACTCACACTATAACACTCACTCACACTATAACACTCACTCACACTATAACACTCACTCACACTATAACACTCACTCACACTATAACACTCACTCACACTATAACACTCACTCACACTATAACACTCACTCACACTATAACACTCACTCACACTATAACACTCACTCACACTATAACACTCACTCACACTATAACACTCACACTCACTATAACACACACACACTATAACACTCACTCACACTATAACACTCACTCACACTAACACTCACTCACACTATAACACACACACACTATAACACACACTCACTATAACACTCACACTCACTATAACACTCACTCACACTATATCACTCACACTCACTATAACACACACACACTATAACACACACTCACTATAACACTCACACTCACTATAACACTCACACTCACTATAACACTCACACTCACTATAACACTCACACTCACTATAACACTCACACTCACTATAACACTCACACTCACTATAACACTCACACTCACTATAACACTCACACTCACTATAACACTCACACTCACTATAACACTCACACTCACTATAACACTCACACTCACTATAACACTCACACTCACTATAACACTCACACTCACTATAACACTCACACTCACTATAACACTCACACTCACTATAACACTCACACTCACTATAACACTCACACTCACTATAACACTCACACTCACTATAACACTCACACTCACTATAACACTCACACTCACTATAACACTCACACTCACTATAACACTCACACTCACTATAACACTCACACTCACTATAACACTCACACTCACTATAACACTCACACTCACTATAACACTCACACTCACTATAACACTCACACTCACTATAACACTCACACTCACTATAACACTCACACTCACTATAACACTCACACTCACTATAACACTCACACTCACTATAACACTCACACTCACTATAACACTCACACTCACTATAACACTCACACTCACTATAACACTCACACTCACTATAACACTCACACTC